ACCTCGCGGGCCCGCCCACGTGGTCTCGGACCTACGCCTGACAGCGTCTCAGCAGAAGGTGCGAGGACTACGTCACCCTCTACGCCTCCCAAAGACCCGCCAATCCAGACTCCTTACGGGTCTTAACAGCCGGGGGCGTTTCTTGGACTCCGACGGGTTCCAGGGCTACGTTAAGCCCCGCCCAGTGCTTCCCTTGGACCCGCCCACGCTGCACGTTCCCAAGCTGGACAGCTCGGTCAGCCAATGGCCTGCACGGATCCGTCCCGGCCCCGCCTTCTGCAGGGGCTTCTCTGCCTCTCAAGCCAGCCGGCCCTTCGAGCCCCCGGCGCCCGCGTTCTAGTCTCCGTCCCGGCTCGTCCGCCCCGGGCGCGCCCTGGACATTCCTGGGCCCGCAGCGCAGCGGGTGAGTTCGGGGACGCGGGGTCCCGACTCTAACCGCCATCCCGCTGAGAGCCCTGGTTTGCCCTCCGGCCTGGGCCACCGCTCACTTTCCGAAGCTGAGCAGCTTCTGAGGAGGCCCGACCCTCCCAGGCCCCTGGAGATGGAGGGACCGCCGTGGTGACTGTCCACTCGCGGGTTCCCGTCGGGGCCCATGGAGGGGTCTGCCGCCGAGCCCGAAATCGGGAGTCAGGATGAGACAGTGTCTTCGTTCTCCTGGGCAGAGGGGGCTCTGGCTCCCTCCCTGTTTCCACAGCGTCAACTCACGTAATGAAAACTCAGCGTTTCTCCGGCTCTGACCGGTTCCAGGCACTGCGCTCAGCCTTCCCGGTCAGTTCTCAGCAACCTGTGTGTGGCTGGAATCACCATCTCTTCTTTCCAAATGCGAAAGCTCAGGCCCAGAGAGGTTAAGTGGTTTGCCCAGGAACTACCAAGGAATTAGTAGCAGAGATACGGTGGTCTATTTCAGCCCTTTGTTTTGTTTGTTTGTTTTAAAGATTTTTTATTGACTTTTAGAGGGACATGGATGTGAGAGTGTAACATTAATGGGCTGCCTTCTGCACACCCCCTACCCAGGAGCAGCCCCCAACCCGGGCATGTGCCCTGACTGGGAATCCAACTGGCCACCTTTGGGTGCACTGGACCATGCCCAACCGAGCCACACCGGCCAGGGCGATTTCAACTCTTTGTTTTTGCTAGTGAGGGTGTTAGCCCTGGGTCCAAAGCAGGGGCTTATGGGTGCAGACACTTTTCGAGCCCCAGTGTACTCCAAATGATGTTACCGTCTGTCCACAGAGCCCTGAAAAAACATATCCCAGTGGTTGGCCAGAGGTATAGGGAGAGATAGATGTGACCCCTGAGGCCTGAGAAGGAGCAAGGCCCACTGGGAACATGGCAACTGCCCAGGGCCTCCAGCCCCCACCACCCCTAGAACAGGATGAAATCCTGATTGTGAAGGTAGAGGAGGGCTTCCCCTGGGAAGAGGAGCCCTCCCTGAAGATGGAAGACCTGAGCCCTGAGACCTTCCTCCAGCTCTTTCGGCTCTTCTGCTACCAGGAGGTGGCCCGGCCCCAGGAGGCTGTAAGCCGCCCCTGGGAGCTCTGCTGCTGCTGGCTGCGGCCGGAGCTGCGCACCAAGAAGCAGATCTTGGAGATGCTGGTGCTGGAGCAGTTCCTGATGGTGCTGCCGGGGGAGATCCAGGCCTGGGCGCAGGAGCAGCAGCCGGAGAGTGGTGAGGAGGCCCTGGTCCTTGTGGAAGGGCTCCAGCGGGAGCCCAGGAAACAGAGGGAGAAGTGGGGGCCATTCTGGCCCTGAGGTGAGGAAATAGGCTCTGGATCCTCAGGGACCTGCTGCTGAGGTCTGCACTTAGAGATTACTTGGGCTCTGGAGCCTTGGCCAGCTGTGGCCTATTGGGAAAACCAGATGTTTTGAATGGAAGAAGGCAACTGCAAAGTTTCTCAAGCTTGGCCAACGGGTATCCATCCACCTGTTATTAATCATGTATAGCTCCACTAGCCCTTTCTAAGCTTGTGGGGATTGGTTTGTAATTACTGACACAGCATGGGCCAGACACAGGTTTTGATGGGAGGGAAGTTGGAGACCATCCAAGGCATGGCCTTGGGAGTTGAAGAGATCCCAACAGAGGGAAGAACACTGGAACAAAAGACAAGGAGCTGGTGGGTGCCCTGATTGGTGCCCCCAGATGTTCCCCAATCTCTCTAGAGCTGTGTTATCCAATATAGTAGCTAACAGTCCTGTGTGACTTTTTAAATTAAAATTAATAAAATTTAAAATGTAGTTCCTAAGTCATACCAGCCACATTTCAAGAGCCCAGTCATCACATGTGGCTAATGACTACTGTACTGGACAATGTAGCTATAGGACACTTCCATCATCGAGGAAATCTCTGTAGACAGTGTGGCATCACTCTAGAGCACACTCCACCTCCTCCTAACCTGCTTTTAGTCACTGAACTCCTTGAAATGAAAAAAAAAAAGTCATTTCACCTGTTTTAATTCTTTCTTCAGTGAGGTGCCCAGGTTAAATATTTGGCAAATGCTGACAGGTCACTTTCTTCTTGTGGCAATGCCATTGCCCACACACTGCTGTTCCCTTGTGTCCAGCAGGCAGACACATCCCCCCAAAACCTGACCACAGTATCAGTTGATGTCAGTTGAGTGCAATAAGCAAATCCTGCTGTCATGGTGACTAATAACTCAGGATCCCCTCCCAGCCCCTCCAGTCTGGTTTTGGGGGTTCCTGCATGGCTTCCCTCTGTCACTGTGTACCCTGGAACCTCTGGGACTATCCTATCAGAGATGTGGAATGTTGGAGCCTGAGACAGGGGTTCCTCAGCTGTTTTAGCAGTTCCCTGGGGAATGTCTCTTGTCCCAAGACTCAAGTTCGTCCAATTCACCTTCTCTGGAATTAGGAATTAGATTATCCTAGAGCACCTGTAAATGATTTTTTATTAAAGTGTAGCAAATGCAGTAATGCCAACTTCCAAAATAAGATTGGATTCAGGGCCCTTCTGGTCCAGGATTTGTTGGGAGCACCAGGAAACAAGGGTAAGAGTGTGACAATGACATCAATGTGGTGTGACAGAAAGAGACTGGAGCCTCACTCAGGAGCAGACCAGTCCTCCATGTGTCCAGGCTGGGAGCCTGACCTCTTCCCAGCCCACATTCCTTCTCCTTGAGTGTTGCTGGAGGTAGGGCTGTATGTGGCATGTGGAGGGCCAAGGGCACAGTGACAAGGCCACCTTGGTGGTGAGGATGGCCAGGTGTGCCCAACAAGGGATTGGGGACCCTGTGGGTCTCCCCCTGACCTGAGAGCTGGTTGGCAGCTTTCTGTCTGTGTGCAGGGGCTAGAGGTACTCTCTGACAATGCAGTGCGCCACCAGATGGGAGAACAGTCTTTGAAATGCCAGGCAGAGGCCCAGCCAAAGGAGTTGTCCCTGGAGGAAGGGTCTCAGGACTCCAGTCAGCAGCCCCCAGCCCAGCTGAGCCACAGACCGAAGAGAAACCCTGACCTCTGGCCAAAGAGGGGTGAGTAGCCGCCCCTCAAAGAAAGCAGCCCTGTAGGAGAGGGAGGCGAAGGGGAAAGTGTGGCAGGAGGTTGAGGCCTCTGTGCATGTGGCTTCTGGTGGGGAGCAGAGTGTAGGAAGGGAATCGCTGGACCTGTCCTGGCTTCATTGCAGGTCCTGGCCTTCATTGCTGTGTCCACAGGTGAGCTGTGTGGGCTTCGCTGGTGACTTTGCTATTTCCCCAGGCCCAGTGGCCTCCTAGCACCAGGAGATGGCGGCATCGGCCACGTCCTTCCTTTCAGCCTGGTCCCAGGTGAGCGGGCGTTCCGGGTCTGCAGCATCCCTATGGAAACACTTCTCTCCCATGGCCAGGTGTGTGGGTTTCAGAGGCACTCCCTGCTGGAGTGACCTTTGCCTCCTGGGAGGTCTTGCCCTTTCTCAGATGCCATCTGAGTTTCATCCAGGGCATCAGGGTTTCCCTCCCAGAGCCAGTGGAAGCCTTGGCCCTTGTTTCCTCTCCCTCAGAGGAAACAGAGTCTGCACAAAAGCAAAACACCTTCCACCTCTGTCTTTTTTGTGTGTTTTTTTAATATGTTTTTTATTTATTTTTTTAGAGAGAGAGGAAGGGAGAGGGATAAGAGAGAAACATAGATTGGCTGTCTCCTGCACGCCCCTACTGGAGATTGAGCCCACTGGGCATGTGCCCTGATCAGGAATCGAACAAGTGACCTCTTGTTGCTCAACCACTGAGCAACACTGACCGGGCCCACCTCTGTCTTTTAGAGCATCACACTTTTTCATAGATTCTTCTGATGCCTCTTTGCCCTCACGAGGAAAAGGACTTGCAGTCCCATGGTTCTGATCCAGCCCACACTCACATCCTCTCTTTCCCTGTAAGCAGGACTCCTCACTCCCAGGCCCTGTCTGATTGCCCAGCTGGGGAGAGGGAAAGGCCTGTGGGACCCAGCTCATGCTGCCTCGAGACTGAGGGACGTCTCTGGTGGTGCCAGCTCAGATGAGGGGGCCAGCAAGAAGGAAACGGAAGTCCCAGGTAAGATCCTGTCCTCTTTTGGGGTTTAGACCATGGTGATTGTGTTTGTGTAGTTCAAGCTCAAGGGCTTAGAGGAGGAGTCAGCAGAGTTTTTCTGTAAAGGGCCAGATAATAAATCGTTCTGGTTTATGGGCCATACAGTCTCTGCCATCTTGGCATGAAAGCAGCCAAGAAACAACAGAAAACTTTATTTACAGAGATAGGTACTGCCTTGTGGGCCTAAGTGTGCTGACCCCTGCCTAAAGGAAAAGCAAAGGGAGAGAGTTACCTTGAGAAAAGTTTGGGGCTCCAGCAGAAACCCCTCAGTGGAGAAGGAGACACATACCAGATCAGTGTTGGATCACATATGGCCCGGAGGAGCAAAAGTGAAACTAGTTCCCCAGGGAGAAATGAGGGCAAGGAGCCTATGCCGAGTGTGAGGCAGATCAGAGAGCCCCAGAGTGTCACCCAGTCAGCACCTACCCTCTTGGGCCTACACCTGGGGTGGAATTGCTGGGTCATGTGGTGATTGTGTGGAACCTTTTGAAGAACCACCAGACTCAGTTCCTTTTGAAAAATTCTCACAACAGGCCAGGGAGGTGGTTCCATCTTAATTGTTCATGTGAGGATTGAGGCTCAGTAAGTGTGAGCTGAAGCCCAGGTTTGGCTTTCTGGAAGTGAGTGTGGAGACAAGAGGGGAGAGCAAGAGGGGCCTGCCAGGGGGCCTTGCGGTAGACAAGGTCTTAGTGCAGACATATCTCAGGGTGACAGAAGGTTCTGTCTCTCATTGGGTCTGTGAGCTTTCCAGGGTGCTCTGAAGATATCTGCTCCCCAGCCTCCCGCCCCCAGGGCCCCAGCATGCCTCATGCTCCAAGGTCCCCAGGTGGGGTGTGCCTGAGGCTGCAGGTGAGGAAGCAGAGTAAAGCATTTGTCCAGTCACACAGTCTGGAGTGATAGAGCCAGAGTCTGTTAGGGTCCTCTCATTCTGTGCGCGTGTCACCACGGTGCCTACTTTTGTACTTGGATCTGCAAAGGGGCCTCGGGCTGTACCCAAGTACATGAACGGGAAGCTGAGGATCTGGGACCTCAGGTCTTCGGGTCCTATTCCAACCAAAACAACTTAGAGCAGGGTCTCTCTCCCTGAGCACTGTTGACATCAGGGCTGGGTTGTTTCCTGTTGTGGGCCATCTGTGTACCAGAGAATATACACCAGCATCTCTGGACCCCACCACTAGATGCCAGTGCAATACTCCTACCCAAGACATAACAACCAAAAATGTTTCCAGACACTGTCAAGTGTTGTCTGAGGTGCACCACTGCCCCTGGGCAAGAACCCCTGGCCTACAAGTTATGAGCCCAGACTCCAGAGCCAGATTACTGGGGCTCTTAACTTACCAGCTACGTGACTCTGGGTAAGTTCCCTAGCCTCCCTGTGCCTCAGTTTCCTTGTCCATAAAATGGGACAGTAACGGTACCCACCTTGTGGGTGTTACGAGGATTAAACAAGTTGCCGTGGTGTTAGCACCTCACATCATGGCCTGGCTCACACTCCCTGCTCTATGTTTTGAGGGGGGATTTGAAGAGCATCGCTCTCCATCACTTTCCTCAGGTGGGATGCCCACCCACCCTTTGCCTTCTTTCTTCTCAGAAGCTCCCCTCCTCCTCAGGGACTCTGCTTTCTCTGTCTCAGGCCGTGGAATGCAGTTTAGGGATGGAGAGGACACCAGAGAGGACATACGGATGAGAATGATGAGAACAGAGTGGGATGGAGTGCTGTCGGCTCAGTGCAGGAGGCCTGGCCCCCCATTCTCAGGTCATGAGCCAGTCCCCGTCCAGGGCCTGACAAAATCCCAGCAGCCTCTGGAAAGGAGGAGGCCCTGCAGAGTGGCAGATCCATATATGTGCCCCGAATGTGGCAAAGGCTTTAGCAAAACGTCCCACTTGACCAAGCACCAGCACACGCACACCGGGGAAGGGCCGGCCGTACCAGTGTCCCGTGTGTGGGAAGGGCTTCAGCGACCACTCCAACTTCAGCACCCACCAGCGGGTCCACAAGGGTGAGAAGCCCTACCAGTGTGCCGAATGTGGAAAGCACTTCAGCCAGAGCTCCAACCTTGTCATCCACCACCAGACACATCCAGGGGAGCGGCCCTACATGTGTGTGTGGGAAGCACTTCAGCAACAGCTCGCTCTTCAGTGCACACCGCAGGACTCACACAGGTGAGAGGCTGTACACATGCCTGGCCTGTGGCCAGGGCTTCCACCGGGGCACTGACCTCCACAAACACCAGCACACCCACAGTGGGGAGAAGCACCCTTGCAGCTACACTGACGGGGTGCAACTGTCACCCAGACCCCCGTGGCTCCAGGAGTTCCTGGGGGCCAAAGCCTGACCACCATGCACATAAGTCAGTCATAGTTCATGAAGCTGCCAGCGCCATTTCTGTCCTGGAATCAGAAGCCCTGACCTTAAGACATCTTCACAAACATTCTGCTCCCCTGGACCTGGCGTGAGGACACAGCAGTGGGACATTTTAGGTGGAGTGCTAGGCACAGAGCAGGTGTATTAGAGTCCTAGGGCTGCTGTATAAATGACCACAAGCTGACCGGCTTACAACAACAGGAATTCTGTTAGTTCAGGTGGCCACAAGTCCAAAGTCAAGGTGTCTACAGCACCAGTTCCTCTGGAGGCTCTTATAGAGAAATCCTGTGCCTCTTCCTGCTTCTGATGTTGTCCACAGACCTTGATGTTGCCGGGCTTGTGGCAGCATCACTCCTGTCTCTGAGTCTGTCACAACACCTTCTCCCTGTGTCTGTGTCCTCTCTTCTTCAAAGGATACATTGTATTAAATACATTGTATTTAAGCACCACCCCCAGAATGATCTCATCTTAATTACATCTGCAATGTCCCTATTTCCAAATAAGGTTACATTCTGAAGTTCTGGTTGGACTAGAATTTGGGGGAGACTTTAACCACTGTGGGGGAAGCTGCAATGGCTGCAGTTGCTTGCGGCATTACATACCCCAGCCTTCCTCTCCAACCCTGCCACACTTCCAAACTGTAGGCGATGGGGCTTTTTCTACATTCCAATGGTGTCGGCAAGGAAATGGGGTGAGTTTGGGGTTTACTTTAAAGATCCACAGTTGTTTTATAGGATGGATGCCTGGTGTGGGAATACTTCCTGGAGACTCCATCTCCTGGCCTCCCCACCTGTGAGGAAGTCTGGGGATTTGACTGGCTTTGCCTCCTCCTAGGGTAAGGGGGCCACGGCTGCCTCTGCTTCAGCCCCAGCTAGCCATGTTCTAGGACACAGGCCGGCCTTGGTTGCCCTACTTTGTCTTTCTGAGGTAGACACGCCTCTCTGATTTGTTCATATCCACGGCTCCTGAGTGGCTGAGGGAAGACGTATAGAGTCCTTGTTCAGTTTAGTCATCTCTGGAGTCACGGGGCAGCTGCTGAAGCCACTGGGTTCTGGAACATTCCATCCATAAGTGTGGCCGTTCTTCATTGCCGGGTGGCTTTGGCCATCATGCCAGTTCTTGATGCTCCATTCTGTTTTGCCGATCTAGCGCTATATACATTTTCCCCTTGCTACACCCCAGGTTCTGGGCATGGGACCTCTTCTCCCTCAATGACGTCAGTCATCCTGGCCCCATGTGCTCTGTTCTGCGTGTTCTCCAGAGAATGGGGCCCCCTGGTTAAAGATGGTTTTTACCTTCTAGGCCAGCTTCCAGGCTCTCGTGAGACAAGTAGTACCCAGCCAGATCTAGCTGGTCCAGCATTGCAATAACCCGCCACCCCCAGCAGCCAGGATCCCCCGGCTCTCTTCTTGGGTCCAGACTGGTGCTGGAGGTGGCAATGCTCTTCCCCGTCTAACCACTGGACCTGTCAAGTGCCTGTTCTGTGATGCTCTCTCATGCAGTCCTATGATGTGGAAGTTTTCATGAGTTTCCTTTCATAGATGGGGAAACTGAGGCCATGAGAGCTTTAAGAACCTTGTCCAGGCGGCAGAACAGGCTTCCACTCCAGGCCTGAGCGCCCACCGCCTCACCCTCCGACTTGCTTTGACGGAGAATAATTCAGTGTTGACCCTGGAACAGAGCTTATTTCCTGTCACTGTGGAGCATCCTGAATGAACATACTGGCGTTAAAACGGTAGAGATGAGGGGATGGGGCTAAAGGGAAAAGATGGCTTTTGTTCTTGACAGCTAGGTCGGCAACACAGAAGTGTGCAACACTAAGGCTGCCGTGTCCTATGTGCCCAGGACTGAGGGTGAGGGGCCTCCACAAGTGGGACACGGCCTGGGGACCCCAAGTGACAGCAGCCTGGCCACATTCTCTGCAGGAAGGCCTCCCTGGGGCTCCTATGGCCTTGTGGAAGCCCCTCTGGCATCTGGCTTCTAATGAAAATCCCCTTTGTTGTGAATGGGGGCTGGTGGTGTGAGCCCTGTGGCCAGATCAAATAGAGTCTGTGGCCCTGATCTTGACTTCCTGTGGCTGGCTGAGGCCCGGCAGTGCCTCTCTTGCCTGGTGCAGGGCTAACTGGGAAGAGACCCTTTCCCACCTTCAGCAGATGGCAGCCAGTGGTGACCCCAGCTGAACACTGGAACACGCACCCAAATGCCAAGGACCCTGCTGGACCACCTGAGTCTACATCATGGGGCAGGCAGGACAGAGATGGGCCAAGACTGAGAAGCAGAGTCTTGGAAACAAGTTGGGGAGGGACCAGAGGTGCCACAGATCAGGGCTTCAGCCTATTAGGCAGCAAGGCTAATAACAGTTATGAAAGGGCTATGAAAATGAGGCATGGGGTGCATGATAGTGCAAAGGAACAGGGTGAGAGAGACGGGAGTGCCTCCTGTGGGCCCCCAGCTCTTTCTGTCTATCCACAAGGGCAACCTTGTGAAATGGGGACAGTTTCAGATGTTAAAACATTCTCTCTGTATTTAAAGGCCAACTCCACCTTTAGTTTGGAAGAACCTTAGAACCTCTATGTGCCTTTGTGTTTTAAAGGGGAAAAAATCAAATTCCAATCAAAAGTTCATTTAGTGTGTTTGTGGTATGTTAATTTAAGTACACAAAATATCCAGGGACCCAGAAAATTGGGCTAAATTCTCTTTCAAGACTCTTTTCACCCTGAAATTCTCTAAATATGTTTTACTTAAGTTTTATAGGCTTTAAAAAGACCTTGTCTGATGGAAATAATAGATGCACATTAAAGGGGGAAAAATGCAGAAATGGACAAAGATGAATAGGCTCACAGGTCCACGATCAGAACAAAACCATTGTCTTCATGGCTTTCCTCCCAGACCCTCTCAGAGGATTGGGGCAGTTGATTTGTCATCAAACTGTACATACAAGTTTGTGTTGGCATCTTTTTGCTCTAAATGCATGAAAATGGTCTGACCAAATTTTAACAGAGGGGTAGGTGACAGATCCACAGTCTGAGGCCCTGTGCTGCAAAAGCATCTGCTAATGGAAAGGAGAGGGTAGAGGGATGGACCATCAGGGCCTGGGCATGTTGACAGAGTCAAACCATCCCACTAATCTCCTAAGATCCAGTTGGCCCAGAGGAGACACCAGGACCTCCCTGGCTGTTCCTGGCCCAAGAGGATCCCCCAGGGCCCTGGGACTTCCGAGGGTCTTCCTGAACTCAGTGTATCACATGTTGCTTCCTCCCAGTCCCAGATCCAGCTGTATCTTCAGGGTCCTGAGCCTTCTGGTCGCTAGGACCCTTGCTGGCAGGCAACTGGGGCTGAACCATCCCCTTCCGAAAAGCCCTGAGCTGCTGGAGAAGCTGACTTTTCCCAGTACAGTCCCTGTAACACAAGAGAAGCAACCTTATGCAGTGCCGAGTGGAGGCCAAACCTCCCAATGCTTTGCCACTGACACAGGACACACATAAAAGCCAGAGTGCTTCCAGAAGCATTTCCCCCAGTTCTCAATATGTAAATAAATGATTGCAGCTTCCCACCCTTGCTGAGTTGCAATTCATGTCAGCATGTTAAAGCATGTCTGGGATGAAACCTGTGTGACCTTTCTCAACCCATGTTTTCCCCTCTTTTTTCCTATAATGCCTGATCATGGACCCCAGTATGGGAAAAGCTGCATTAGACTGACATTCTCAAAGGGTAGGATCTGCAAGCTTTTCCATTCCAAAAATGATGGACACTGCCACAGTATAGGATTATAACTCGCCCATGACCACAGTGTGGTCGTACCACAAAGGAGACTTGAGCCTTCTCTGAATTTGATATCTCACATCTTAATTCACTGAGGCCTCCCATTTCTGGCTAACAACCATTGCTTTACTCCATCCCTATACTCTCTCTTCACTTCCACTGCCATCACCAAGCGGGAGCAAAATAATTTGGGGAGCTGTTTTCAGAAAGAAAATGTATTAATTCCTTCGCAAGAGCAGGCTAAGGTGGTGTTGGTGATGTTTGGGGACAGCAGGCAGGCTGAGATGATGCTGGGTCCCAGGTGGATTCCCAAGACTACCCTCCCCATCTCCCAGACCCCCCACACCCTCATGTGCCAGCTCTTTGGGTGCAACACATAGCGCTGAAAGCACAAATGTTAAATGTGCCAGGTCAAGGGCTTGTGCAAAAAGCAGACAGGGAACAGCCCCAGGCAGCAGAAGCCTGTGGTGGTTACCGTAGCCCCGATGGGCCCTGCTGGTCTCTCAGAGCAGCTGTCTTCTCTTCCCCTGGCTCTTCACTGTCAGAGGAGCTGGAGCTGGAGCTGGGACAGAGGAAACGAGGGTTTTCTGGACATGCTCCAGTCCACCCTGGCCAGGCAGGTCTCCTACCAGGGACTTGGAGTGCCCGGGCCTCCCTGGTGACCCAGGGCAGGAGGATGGGCAGGCCATCCAAAGCCCAGCCAGCCCAAACCAAAGGGCCACTGGGCTTCCTGCCAGGTGGTGAAGGGAAGCAACCTAGGGCTGTGTACTCCACCTAGACTATTTTCTTAGACCTCCACCCAAAAAAGATTGCTATCTGCCTCTGCTTCCTCCCTCTCTGCTGGGAGGGCCTGCTGAGGACCAAGTGGGACTGTTGGCCAGGCTTGGTTCCCGGCTAAGAGCAGTGCTCCCAGGACTCTCCCATGCCCAAGTCTTCCCGTCTGTTGAAGTCCCTGTTCCTCTCTAGGCCAGTGTGGCTTCTGAAAAGCAGTGGGTTTGTAGCAAGGCTGTCATCACTCCCTGTACCTTTCCAATGACCCTTGGTCTGATGGCTCCATGGGCCTCAGGTCGATGAAGGTGGTGGGAGGCTCCACCGGGCTCCTTAGCTGCCACTGACACAGCTCTGCCTGGAAGCCTGGCTTGGTCAAAGCACATCTGAGATGAGAAGAGCAGGGGTGCTGAGTTACTTCTTGGGGATTATGTGTGACCTGTGCTGGGCTCATGGCTGCCACTGACTGAGCACCCACTGTGTGTGGAGCTCTGAGGTGCGCCTATCAACGAATTTGCTCTTTTACTCTTCAGAACAACCCTTAAGATTTAGGCCAGTACCATCCAATAGAACTTTCCATGATGATTAAAATGTTCTATATCTGTGCTTTCCATCATGGTAACCACTTGTCACAATTGACACTTAGGCTAACTAAAATTAAGTTAATAAAATTAAAAATTCAGTTCCTCGCCCCACCGGGCGTGGCTCAGCAGTTGAGCATCGACCTAGGAGCCAGGAGATCATGGTTGGATTCCCAGTCAGGGCTGGATGCCCGGGGTTGTGGGCTCGATCCCTATCGGGGGTGTGCAGGAGGCAGCCGATCAATGATTTACTCTCATCATTGATGTTTCTCTCTCCCTCTCCCTTCCTCTCTCTGAAATCAATAAAGATATATTAAAAAAAAAAAAAAATCAGTTCCTCAGTTGCATTGGCCATATTGCAAGGGTTTAGTAACCACACGTGGCCAGTGGCTATGATTCAGCAACGCGGGTCTAGGCATTTCTGTTGGACACTTTGGGTTACCAGGGACAGGAGCCATTCCAACTAACTCAAGTGAAAAGGGACTCATTGACTCTCAGATTCCTAAAAAAGTGGAACAACCAAAGTGTGGGATGGGAAGGGATGCAGCTGGGCCCTGTCCCCACCTCTGCTCCTCCCCTGCATCCCTCCGGCTTCAGTGTTTCTCACCACAGATGGCCTTTCTCCTCCCTCCCACCTCTACCCAGAGATACCAGGGTGGAAATTCCCAAGGAAAGGCTCTGATTGGCCTGCCTGGGGTCAGATGCCCAGGGCTGGCCTAATTAACAGTGGCCAGAAGACCAGGGCCCTATGCCCTTGGGAGGCCATGTGGGTGGTAAAGGAAAGGTTCTCATGGAAAGGAGGAAAGAATTGGGGCTTGAGTCCTAGCTCTGCCACATATGACCTGGGTAAGTCAACCTCTCTGAGCCTCAGTTTCCCCATCTATAAAGTGGAGATAATAGTAGCACCTACCTGATCAGATTCTTGAGATGAAATGAGAAATACATATCAAGTGCCCCACCCACAGTAGGCTGCAAAGCTGGGGCGAGTTCTAAAGAGGACAGGGCCATGGCTGTCAAGAAGTCCCACCTGTTCCTGGCCTCCAGCTGCTCATTGTCCTGGGGCATGTCAGCAGACACCTTCCAGGCAGAGGAAGAGGCTCCAGACTGCTTGGCACACAGGAGGGTGAGCTGTTCCATGAGCCTGTCCTGGGCACTGGGCTCAGCATGATCTGATGGGAGAGCAAGGGAAGCTGCCTAGTGGAGACTTGGTCACTGACTTACAATGGCCTGACCCCTCATATGGATGAACTTCCAGTTTGTACATGGAGAAGTGAGGGGGCCCTGGAGGCCCCACTCTGCCCCTTTGGTACCCCACCTCTGCTCAGGGCTGGGGGAGCAGTATTTTTGGGAGCAGGGAGTTGTATTAAGCCCTTCATGGGGGTGATTTCTTATTAACACTTCGTCTCATTCCCTCACTCCCTAGTCCCACTTGTCAGAGGGAACCATAATTAACAGTAATTTGTGTTGACTTTTTTTGAAAATAGCAATGGGATCATCCTCTGTATATATTTTTTACTGAATATATTACATCTTTCAGCGTTAGTGTACACAGATTCCCCCACTGAGCTGTTCTGTGGTTTAACTGATTTAGCTAGACTCCTATTGAGTACTGATACTAAATATGGGTCACTTTCAATTTTTCACAACTGTGCACAACACTGCAACAGACATGAACATCCTTAAATACACATCTTTACCCACCTGGGTGAATATGTGTTAGGATAGACTTTAGAAGTGGAATAGCTTGACCAAAGGCTTATATGCCTTTTAAATAGAAAACAGATTCTGCCACACTGCCCTCAAAAAAGGGATATCAATTACAGCCCCACCCTCACCCCACCTTATAGGAGGGTAGGTTTCACCACATCCTGCTATCAGGGGTTAAATTAGAAATAAAACCCTGTTAAAAACAGCACAGGGGCTATCAGCCCCAGAGGGGCCTTCACTCTGGAACTGGAGGCCTAACAATGTCCTGTGCCTCAGACCTGCCCTTACTCACCTTTTCCAGCCATGCCTAGAGAAGAGGGGGAGCTTTTGTTTTATTTACAAAATTGCCCAGAGCAAGGCCATAAGTGTGCTGACCGTAATCACATCCCTGGCTTTCTTTTGTAAACAGGGAGGCAGTAGAAGCAGGACTGTGTTTAGAAGCTAGCTGAAGAAGTGCAAAAGGCAGGATTACCTTCCTCCCAGAAAGAAAGAGAGGGAGGCTTGAGGAGGTGGGTAGGAGAAAAAGGTGAGGGTCAAGGGCAGGGACTATGTCTTGTATCCCCAGGGCCTGGTCCATGCCTGGCACATAGCAGGCAGTCACACATATAGTGAATGAATGAGCGAATGAGTTAGTGAATGAAATCTTTCAAGGACTGGCACCTGAATGTTCAAGATGGTGAGGGCTGAGCAGCAGAGAGGACATGGTGGGCTGCAGCGCTGACTATGCCCAGACAAACGGACCTATTTATTGAGAGGCCCTGGAAGGAGCTGCTTGTGGGGATGCACTTGGTGTTTAAGGTCAGACCTGGAAGGAGCTGCTTGTGGGGATGCACTTGGTGTTTAAAGTCAGACCTCTGCTCTGGAGGTGATCAGCTGCCCACCACACTGCTCCAGGTGTTCGATCTCCCCGGTCGTCTTCTCGTCCAGCCAGACTCTGAAGGATGTGATCCAAATCCCACTCTTCAAGTTGCTGAAATTAAAGTGGTGATTACAAGGCTGCCACAGGGTACTGGAGGCAACGGAAGCTGTCATAGGATGTCCTGGGGTAGGAATCAGTTTGGAGGCATGCCCACATTTGCAGATGGGGCTCACTCATCCACTCTGTGTTGCAGAATGAACCACCTGGGGTCTGCACCTCTTTCCTATGGCTTTTAGGAAAATACTTCTGTGTCTGGCACAAAGGCATATTTTGACCTGGAGGAAACCCTGTGCTTTTTAAAAAACTTTTAAGCTTCATACAGTTGTAAAATGTTGGAAGGTTAAAAAGTTTTGCTTTTAAGTTCTAGGCAGGTGCTGAAAACTGGAGGACTTGAAAAATAATGCTGTGGGGCAGAGTGGGTGTGGTTGGAGGAGGGAAATTAATCTGGAATTAATGTTTCTTATGCAAGACCTTGCTGCTCCTTGAAGCCCTGTAGGTGAGTGAAAATAAAAGTGTTTAGGGATGAACAGAAAGAATGGAATGATAAGAAAGGAATTGGTGCAAATTACCTCCATGAACACCTTGATGCCAGTTTTCTCTAAGTTGTTAAGAAAATTATCCAAAATTTGTAAATAAGGCAAAAAAGAGAATTGCGTGACCTTTCTATGTTATGCTGGAGTTTTTCTAAGCTTACCTTTTTAGGGGGAGGTTGGTTTACACAATCAATCAGGGACACCCCTGTTTTACAACCTTTTTATTTTTATTTTTTTTAGAGAGAGAATGGAAGGGCTGCCTCCTGCATGTGCCCCAACTGGGGCTGGGATCAAACCTGCAACCCAGGTACGTGCCCTTGACCGGGAATTGAACCTGTGACCCTTCGGTGAGTGGGTTGACGCTCTAACCACTGAACCCACGCTGGCGAGGGCTCTTTTACAACTTTTAAAACTGAGAAGGTGCAATGGTTTTCTTTTCTGTCCAGTAAAGAAGATAGCCCCATAGGTATCAGTTCCGTTGCCCTGTAAGACATTGACTGATTTGCACTTAATGTAGCAATTTTATCTTGGCATTCATTCCCCCCCCCC